GATAATATCCCACCTGGCGCTGGTGCGTTGTACTACAATCAATCTGGTCCGTTGGTTCCTCTCCTATGCAATCCCTACAATTCGGACAGGTCAAATCGGGGAATATGCGCAACTGGTGAAGTTGGCTTAAACAACGCAACACAGGTAAGTAAAATGGCTTTTAAATTACGAGTTTATTGCATTCAGTGCATCTCTGTTATATCGAACTGTTAAAAAACATCTATGTGTTATAAATATTTGCAAAAAGAACCCTAAGTTGCGTTGTTGTTTTAGCCGACGACTCCCTAAATGATGCGTTTTTAGGTGTAGTTTGCTAATAAAATTGAATAGTTGGGGTTCTTTTTTCTAATTAGAGTAAAAACCGGGGTGCTTAATGCAATTAGATCCTTTAAACTGCTCTTTTTATAAAACACTATATAGTATTCAGACAACGACTAAGGCCTTGTTTGGTTCCTAAGATAAGATTAAATAATCTTATGAAAACACTACTGTGTTAAATATAATATTACTATTAGCTAAGATTAGAGCCATTTTTTCAACAATTGCGGATCAGCCCGAAATATTTATTGAGCTAACCGAACATCCTATACTATCCAATTATTTAATTAATCATAGCTAACCTTACCAACCAAACGAGGCCTAAGGGTTAAATTGCCTAATCAAAATCCGGGATCCTCTTTTTTTCTTTTTCTTTTTTAATCATGGGCTCAAAAAATAAACCACAAATGTTTGACAGACATTGATTATATTGTCTATAAAGTCCGATCCTAGTTCCCAAACAAAGCCTAGTGATACATGCAATTATGTTGTGTGATGCAGTCTGGAGGAATTGCGAGTGCCGAGTTTCAGACCCAACATCTGCACGACAGTGAGGCGTTTGACACCTGGCCTGTACGAATCAAATGATGGGGGCCGTCTATGGTGAGTTAGGGCTTGATCAATACGGCCCGTTTCTGACAAACCTAGTTGACTGCTCGTTTCTTCGAGAGGCTTTCAGTACAATACACAAAGACAATTGCCCCAATCTAAGGCTTTATAGCCGTTGGGTTTACATCGGTCTTGCTATGGTTTCGTCTGCCGTTATGCTCTCTCTCATTCTTTGGGTGCTTTATGCGAGGGAGAGAAGGCACCGGAAATATACGAAGCTCGTCGATGCCACGTCAGCACCATGAGCAATTCTTGATTTTTTTTTTAATGAAGTGATGTTTGTCTAGTCTTGAAGACAGTTGGTTGGTGGTTTTTGGAATATGATTGTGTATATAATTTGTTTACACGGTTGTTTAGGTTTCTTTTGAGATTCTTTTTAGCTTGATACTTATTTTATTTTATTTTATTTTTTTAAGTAGTTTGATTGTAATTAGAGATTTACAATCACCGATTTATATTTAAAAATTACTATTATATTTATAATTATAAAAGTAAATAGGATTCAAACATTTATTGCAATTTGCCAATTGCAATAATTGGTAAAAGTGGATGGATTCAAAATCAAGAACAAAGATCAAGCCCTCATATACTTCAAACTATTTTCGTGAAATTAATTTGGTTACAATTTTATCATTTGTTCAAATTGGATGGTTTGAATTGATTGTAATTTACTTCATCTTTTTTTTTTAGGTGACCTTTATCAAGAAAAAATCATTTTATATTTAGTGTTATTTCTATAAATTTAATGTAGGAGAAATTTGTAAAGACATATTACTCAAGTAAGAATTCCCTTAAATGATAGAAGATATTACACTCCAATCAATTTCATTAAATTACGCGCCATCTACGTTAAAACCATGTTTGGTTTATGGATTTCGAAATTAGTAAAAATGAAATCGAAGAATTAATAAATTTCTGGTATATTCAGTTCCTAAGTTTATTTCTTTTCCAAATATGATTTGACTGGTACAATACAAAAAATAAAAAGTTAACTATTACAGTAAAAATGTATTTTTCTTGTTTTAATCACATTTTTTTTCTTCCCAGATCATTCTACTTAATATTAATTTTACCTAATTTTCTCATCTTTTCATATAACAATATTCAAATAAAGTCCAAACGTCACTTATACCTAAAAAAATAAAAATAAAAACTAATAGAGTTAAAAAAAAAAAAATAGAAATAGCCAAAAGAAAGCATTGCTGGATTAGCAACGAATGCATGCTTGACAACACCCAAATCTGCCAAAAGTAAAAAAACCTCACTATGTGTTGCTTTCTCACACGTTACTCCACCCCCACCCACATACCCCCCACCCCGCACC